TTCGAGTCTGTGGTGATGAGGCTCATACGGGAAATTACCCTCTGCCTCTGACTGAGGAACATTAAACATTGAACATTATTTATTACTCTTTGGTCGGACTTAATTGTCTGTTGGGATTGGAAAAAACTGAATTGGCTTTTCAGCACTGAGGAACTATACTTACCGGAATCGATTAAGAGCAACAAAAGAGATTTTCATGGTATGCTAATTCTCAGACGGGTAATCTCTGCCGAAAAAATGGTCTTGGAGATAGTGGTGGTGGTGATGGTGGATGTTAGACACAAGTCTTGCAGGGGGAAGAGAGGAAGTATTGAAGCAAATGAACCACAGCAGTTTTCCACTAGGAATAATTAACACATTGATTAATCTTTTTCACCACCGCAGAAGCCAAAAGGAAACTGCAGCCGCGAGAAACCATCACGTGACACGGGGAAATCGATTGATTTTCTGCGGTTTCACTTTCTCAGGTCAACGTGTTTTTATTGGAAATATTTACAAACGGTTGCTTTTCTTATCCCGTAGGGCTATGCGCACAACTGGGCCGATTTACCGATCATAGATAGATAATGAATGTCACAGATTTTCTTTGTTCATTGCGCTGCTACGAATGTCGAAATTTAAGACTTGGCAGACTTTCATCCAGTTTGATCTTGAAAAAGCTCAATTGTGGGCCGTAGAGCCAACGTGAGGTGGTGGAGAATTCTAAATGCTGCACACTCTGAAGACAAACGAAAGACACCGCATTATAGTCGACAATTTTGGAGCACTAATTTGAATGAGTCCCCCTAAGGTAAGTATCGGGCGACAAGGCGAACGTTATGGCTGATCGGGGTTCTACATTATTTGATATACTAAATCACGTCCCCTCAAATTCCACGATCCTGTGTAGAAAACAACCCCAATGATTCCATTCTTCCCACATAAGTCTTGAAATGCATTCCCTTGACCATCTTGGTGACTATTCTTTGTGAACGTGTGTAGTATTCAGAATAGGAATCGGAATCGAATAGTACGAACTGGGAATCGAACTGAAAACCCACTGAATAGCGCAAAGTTAGGTAGAACAAAGACGAGCAGTGGGTACGGTTAAGTCTATTTGAAAAATCATGCATGTAGATATCACAAGCATCAAACAATCATTGGTCGATTCTTCAATGTCCAATCTACAAGGTTATTGTTTATTTGTTTGCATTCTTGTATTTAGCCAATCTGGTTTATGCCAATTGAGACCACAGGATTGGTCGGTTATTCAGTTTCTTAGTTGGTTACATGGAAGCTGTACCGCGGTGCGTACTCGTTACACGATCACCACAACGTTCCAGAATTTTACAATTGCATTATAGCCATGGACTCCACGCTTGAATGGTGTACTCTATGTGGGGTCGAATGCAGGCTGATAAAAAACATGGGAACACCATGGGTTCAAATTTTTCAAATACTCACTTCAGCAAACCAACATGTCTTGTCACGGCGAATGACAACCTGAAGCAGTTTATAAAACAACCTAGGTCGCCTTGAACAACGACATCGAGATCCTTCTCATTAGAGACATACGGAAGTTGCTGATATCCCAGGAAATATGGAAACCGAGGGAAGAAATACACCCATATATTTTGATGCATTGAATTCGATGTCATTTCCGATCTACCAGTGATAAGCAGCTCCAAGTGTTCTCTGAAGTGCCAATGGGTCCTCGGGTTTCGTCCCAGTTTTCCATAGTTTTGCATCGTCTCCAAACATTAACTTTTGTGAACTCAAAATGTTCGTTTATAGAAACTAGAAAATGTTGAGGATCAAGCACGGATCCCCGTGGAACTTCTCGGACTACGCTGATAAGATCAGGAAATAACCCAGAAATCCGAACTGCCATGCTGCGCAGAAGAGAATAGGAGAATATGTAAGTTGATTTCATAACTGTACTTTTCACCCTTGTTTTTTATTTATATTTTCATTGCTGCATAAAAAATAAATCGCATTATATACGCTAATTGAATCGCCTACTCTTGGTCTTCTCAACACGGTGGCAAGTTGTAGAAAGTTTTCTTCTCGACAGAAGAGTATTGAAATAAAGCATTCCTTATTTGGGAATATTTCGGTAGAAACTGTATCATCTTAGTGAATTCAGATTGGCAGGTTTCACTGGTTGAACCACGTTTTGCGCACGCTTGACGGTCGTCTACTGCATCGCGTCTTATTTGCAGTTGCTCTCAGTGGGAAGAAATAGAATTTCGATCGGCAGATGACGGGGAGATGACGCAGGCATAAGTCCACAGAGTGATTAGGTGTATCACGCATTTCTTGTTATCTGGGCTGAGGTCCGAAAGACTTGGTAACCAGTGGGCTGCAGGTACTGAAAGATGTGACAACGAACCGACAGTAGTGGCGTTGTTATTGTTGCTATTTATTCTCAGGACAGCATTCTTGAAGAGATTTTCATACCCAAATGGATAATATACTGTATTTTTACAATAACGTTAGACTTTCTTTCCCACCTCCCACAAACCAAGAATCTCCCATATTCTTACCTATTTTCAATGAGAGCACGGCATAAACCAATGAAGTTTGTTTGTCTCAATGCTTTTCCTCGTACCATAATGATAATGATGAAGAGGATGAACGCAAATGGTATCCAATACAGTGACATTGTTATTCCCTTCTCCNATCCACCAGATTATGGCTAAATGTCTTACCATTGGTTTCAATTGGGATTTCATTTAGGCCGAACAAGTAATTCCTGATTTTATAAAACAAAGAACTGGTTCGATCAAAGTTCTTCGCCTGAAATCCTCTACTGCAGTTCACCCGGTTCGCGAATTGTTTGCACACACACACACACACACACACACACACACACACCGGCGCGAATTCGGGCTTGTAATGTGCTTTCTGAGTAATCTTCGCCTATCTAACTGTTACGGATATCAGTGTGTTTTGTTCTTTGTGAATTGGTTTTCCCCACACCTAAATTAATCAATCAGAGACTTTAAAACATCTAGGAGAAATATCTTCACCGGTTGCAAACTGAGGCATCTATCTTCATGTGCCGTTCCGTCCAAGCCCATCTTCCTTGGTTACCCTATCACACCGTGAACGTGTGTGTTTCCGTGTGTGTGTGCGCGCGCTTGTACAATGAGTTAGGAGCCCGATTCGTGTTCCTTTTTAATAGATTCCTACCATATTTACAGGTTTTAATATCTCAGTCTCCTGACTGCTGCTGCTGCTGCTCCCACTGCTAAACCTCCAAATGAACTGAAGCAAATACTTGATTTGATTCAATTTTACTCAAAGCGTACATCATTCTCCAGAAAATCTTGTTCAAACGGGGCTTGTCGAAACTGGGATACAATACACACATGTGTAAAATACCAAGTATCGCTACCCAAATCGATTTGATCACACTTACCGCAAACGTGTTTCCAACTGAATCACTTGATCCTGAGACTCACGCGCGACCTTTTGTAGTCCGGCCACGGCGGTCTGGCTTCGCTGTTTCAACGACTCGTATGATTTAATTTCCTGTTCCAGGTGACTGATGCGTTCGCTAAGCTGTATACGCTTGGTTTCGGACTGTTGTAGTGCTTGGTCTGTGATGCTCAATTGATGCTTGGTCAGACGAGCCTCTTCGCGAAACTTTTCCATATCCGCACGCACTTGGATCAACTGATGCGGTGGCAGATTGGGGGAATGGATAATGATGTATCAATAATGTGCACATTAAAACTGTCTTACACAATAATCGTACGATGAAATTTATGGCACGGGGAACCAAGTTGATTCCGCTCTAGACAAAAATGACGCCAGGACTGCACAATGAACTCGGCATATGTAGACAGTAATCGTCAACTAGGATTGGATTTAGCTTTCTGATCGAAAATCTATACCCAAAAGATAAGCATCAAACACTGCTAGTTTCTGATAATACTAAACCTTATCCATATAATTTGATAACCTATAAACGAATTATTTGGAATAGAATGCATCACGTACTTTTTGACTGTTTACAAATACACTCAGAAAAATAACAGCTAGGCGAATAAACTCATTTACATTTCAAATGGGAATTCGTCGTGTATGGAGCGAATGAAGCGTGAACTGAAAAGCTAGGAAGAACTGTACTACTGCTTCGACCTGGTTGGGCCTCATCAGCAGTGCGAATCCATCTACCCAACTGGAGATCGAACCCGGGAGTAGCATGCTTGCGTTCTGCTCATGAAACCCCGGGTTCGATCCCCAGCTGGGTCGATGGATTCGTACCGTTGTTGAGACCCAACCAGGTCGAAACAGTAGTACAGTGCTCCCTAGCTTTTCAGTTCACGCTTCATTTGCTATATGCACGACGAATTCCCATCTGAAATTTAATCAGATCCTTCATTACTCACATGAAACTCATTTAGAGTTATTCGTCGTCATATCATTACATAACATCAAATATGACTAACAAAAAGAACAAAATTAAACGAGAAAGTTCATAGTTCGAATGGTTCCAAGGTTCAAGTAATTGTACACTTTTGGAGTGAATGAAGGTGGTCAGGGAAAATTAAGTTCTTGCACGAATTTCTTATGGGTGCACAAGGGGGTGGGCTGTGAATCCGAGTATTTACGTCTTCGGCCGTGGCTAAGATACGCACTTGCCACATCCACTGACCGAGTGATTGAACTCACTGGGATGCGAACAAACGACGCGTGTAATTGTCCTAATTGCTCTCATCCTGGTCGGGTGGTGTTCACGAACATGGGCAGATAAGCGCCTGGTTGTGTGAGGCCAGTGTACCCAGTCCTACAGGAACAGGTGAATGAGTAAACACAGAACGAGGCTGCAGAATCTGGCACTCTGTTCTTCATTCGGAAACAAATTATTAATTTAGATATGAACACAGCTTTTAGTTATGCGACGTGAATTTTTTTTGCTTAGTGCACCTGAGAACATTCTTTGGATGATTTCCTTCTACGTACGTCACTTGAACGACAGATACACATAGACAGACTACGTAACCACGCCTATTTCCTTTGGCCGCTCCTCACGCTCTAGCTTCTCTTTATCGATAACTCATTCTAGGTAGCCATTCGGTGCGAAAGCAATACGTACGAACTGAAGTTCAATGGTGGCCGCCGCGCACATTTCCCTCATTCTATGAACCAAACGACGAATTAGATTTCTTTAACTTTGAAGAAGAACAAAATTATGGAGATGGATATGCTGGCCATTCCACGTTGCTGTCCTATGCACCGATAACTGGACGGAGCTACAGTTGCAGCGTTTTATGAATTTGTCGAGAAACGCTTGACTGCTGTCCTTTTTTCAGAGTGAGATTTACGCTCGGAAGGACATTGTTGAATTCCTCAAGCAGCCAACTGGTGTCCACATTTGCAGATGCTTCACATGATATATCGTCAACGTACCGTCTATGTAGGATGCATTGTCTGATATAACATTTAAAAAGATCATTCTCAGGTTTAGTCACAAGTGTATCGGAGGCAAATATTCCTAAAGTTTACCCCATTACAACACCATTCTTCTGTAGATATAATTCAACAGTCCATTGGAACTGGATGCTAGGCGCGTATAGGAATAACACTTGTTCCAGTTAAAATGGTGGAATGCTCACATCGACGTTGTCGACTGGGTACATTGGCCTCATACAACCAG